TTAAATAATAACTACTACTCTCGTAGTAGTTAGTTACTAATACCTTACTTTACTTAACTTAACCTACTACTTCTACTAACCTAACACACTAAATTAATACTACCGTAACCTACTAAAAACTAAAACTAACTACTCTCTCTCTCTCTCTCTCTCTCTCTCTCTCTCTCTCTCTGCATAGCCCCTTTCTCTCACTGCTCTGAAATCTCAAGCTTATGAGCACTCATTTTGACTCAGTGAATTTCCATCTTCCAGTTTCAGAGAAAATCAGAAGACTTAACCTACAACTTCTCTCAAGTCCCAATCTCTCTATTTTTTCCAAACTTTGGATCATAATTTTAGGTATTTGTGTTTTTTTATGAATTTTTCGGAAGCAATTTGTTGCATTCTTAAGCTATGTTTGCTTGGATAATAAATTTTTAAAATATAGATTTTAAAGAAATTGTGATGTCGTACCCACATTTGTCACAGATTTTTTATCGCTGATGATTGTATTTGAATTTAAGCATTCTAGTTTTAGGCAACGTTATCAGTACTTGAGGGAATGTTATTCTTCCTTAGACTGATTTTTTAGGGGATATTTATATCTTTTAGCTCGTCCAAGTTTCTAATAATATATTGTTTTTTGTTTTTTATTTTTTTGGAGATCACATTGTTTGTTGTTGTCTTGCTTTCTTTTGTCGGAATTACATAGTTCCTGCGCTCACATTTTGTAGGTCTGAATTCTTTTTTGAATTTGTTCCTTGTTTATTATTTATTTCATTCATTTGTTGGTGTTTATTTGTTCATTATGTAGCTCCAAATTTTATCTTATTGTAATCACATTTTTGGCAAATAATCACATTGATTTATATGGTTTTGGATTTTTTTATTGCTGATTCTTTTTAAGATCCATGCATTGGTATTTTTATGTTCATTATATAACTTTAAATTTTTTTTATCGAAATCGCTTTGTGGATCAAAACTCACATTGTAGACGAGAAATTAGGTTGAATTATATGGGTTTTTATTTGTTTATTGCTTTTTTTTTATGATTCATGCCTTAAATATTTTTTTGTTCATTATGTAGCTTAGCTATAATTTGTTTCCTTTCTTAACTCACATTCTTGAGAAATGCGTTAGAATCATATTTACTTATCGATTTGCACAAATTTGATAAGTTATAAAAAATGCATAATATGAAGCTTAGAGGTTTGATTCATAAAATAAAGTTTTCAAAGATGTTTTGAGAAATTGTTAGTAATGTGTTGTTTCATTTAGAAAATATTGTGAAAAATTGTTGTGTTTTTAAAGTTCTTTGTCACTTACTTTTGCTTATGTTGCATAGTTGCAAATTTGCAATAAATAGGTCGTTGTTTATTGCAAATAATCAAGGACAAAATTTATATATGGCTGTAAACTTATACTATTGAAGTAACGTGTGTATCAAAAATACTCTAGAAAAAGTATTCCAATGTCTGAGAACCCTGTAATTGATCATTTTCACATCGAGATATGTGGATATGAAGAGAAAAGAATTTTATATCTTAAAAATAATACGTCTTGTAACAAGTTATCTGAATTATTTATTTTCAAGATTTTCAAATTTTTATAGATTTACTCAATTTGTATTACTGTTAAAATTGTAAATTTTATAACTAGGAATCAAACATAGATTTTCAAACTATCATAAGGTTTTTTACACTAAAAACTACATCTCCAAGCAAATTTTAAAGGTGTAGCACCCTATACAAATCTCACCCAATAATTAATAGTGTACCAATTAATCTCTTCATTTATAGTATTTTGGTTTTTAGTGCAAAAAATTATTTTTTTGTCCAATTGGGTTTCAGTGATCATGGTAGGTCCATTGCAAGGTGGGGCCTACATTGGAGGTCTAGAGGACTCCAGTCTGCTAATTCTGCACGAGCAACATTCCTCCCAAGCTTGTATGTATACATTCTATTTCTCCATCCATTGGTATAGCATATTCATATGATCTTGCTGTTTTAGATCATATTTAAAATGCTATTATTATTATTGCATTTCAAGAGCAAGAAGATGTCAAAATTGATGAGAAGACTCATCAATTGCAAAATTGGGAATGGACTGTTTACGCTTGAATTTCGATCGATCTCTCTCAAATATTTTGCGAAATGAGTTAAATTTTATGTCCAGTAGAGAGAGTGGGGCTGCTCAAATTTTAGGTTTAGGAGCATCGCAGATCTTTTCAAATCTAGTTCTCCTCTAAACCTATTGTCAACGCCAGCTCTAGAATTCATTTATTAGACTTTAAAAAGATTATAATTCTAACTAAATCTAAAAAATAAAGAGATAACTAGAAAATAAAAAATAAATAAATAAAAAGAGAGAAAGAACACATACTTGGAAAACCTGGAGTTGGGGCCCGTATCAAGGCCACAGGTTAATTTACACCTTTTGATGCATTCTCTTGCTTTCTTAAAGCATGGCTCTAAGTTTTAGTTTGGATCTAAGAGAACTTATTCCTAGTATTTTGATTTAGATTAATCTAGAGAGGATTTGGGCTTAAGAGCTTTAACTTAAGAGTTTTTAGGGATTTTCCCTTTTTTTCTAGAGGTTTTCCCTAATTTTCTAGGGTTTTAGGATTTTTCATATTTTTCTAGAACTTTTGTCCGAGGTTTTAGGAATTTTCCTATTTTTCTAGAGTTTTTGGACAAATTTTCTAATTTTCTAGGTTTTTTTAAAAAAACAATTCCTAATTTTCTATAGGGTTTTCCTAATTTTATGAAATTTTTTAGCTCTAGGGGAAATTTTGGGATTTTCCTAAAGATTTTTGGACTATTTTTTAGATGATTTTTTCAGGAAATTTGAGGGGGTATTTGTAGGCTTAAGCTAAGGTTAGGCTTGAAACTAATTGATCTAATCTCCTAGTTCTAATTTGATTAAGAATAGGGTACTTTGAGGAGTTTTCTATAATATTCTGAATTAAAACCAACTTAGAAATCCTAGTCAAAAGAAGATTTGGGGTCCTAAAACAGCATCTGGGCCCATGGGGGTCGCGCTAACCGTGCACTTGCAGAGGATTGAAATGTCACTTCTTTGAATAATATTCTCTAGGCCAAAACAGTAAATCGGTTTCACGCGATTTTTGAGCGGTTAGAAAGGCGGCAACTTCCTTATAATTTAGAGCCAAATTTGGTCAAATTGAGTTACTTTTGGGGGGTCTATAAGGTCAAGACCTTAGGGTCTCGGTTTTAGATTTCTGGGTGTTAGATTAGTGTTCGGGTTAGATTTCTGGGTGTTAGATTAGTGTTCGGGTTAGTTTTCTCGATTGATAAGGCTCATGGGTGTCTAAGATGATTATTTGAGTGTATTATAATAGATTTTGGGTGACTTTGGAAGGGCTCACTATGGCTCACTAGGCATAGTGTGGTCATTAGGTTTTAGAACCTAGGCTTCGAAGAATCCTATTACCCAAGAGCATATTGATTTAGTGTGCCATTGTGGATTGGATCTTCACATACATCCAACGAGACAACATGGATAGTTCGTTGGTTGCTGTAAATCCAAGGAGATGGCCAATGAGACCAATTCCTTGCATTTTACTGAAGAAATTGGTGAAATGACATCAACATTGTTCGACATCAACGAGATCATGTAACCACATACCAGCTGATTGATGATCCATGTAACCACATACTCAACCAATTGGGACAAGTTCCCCATGAACCCACCTTGACAACCATCAAGCACACTTAGCTAAAGCAAATACTTCGCGTGCAACCCACAACAGCTTGCAAGGCACATACATGCTTGCTTGAACT